GAATCATACAAATTGCTATACAACTCTCTTAGAAAGCTCACTATTCATGATTTTAAAATTTTAGTCGTATTATTGAATGTTGGTACTTGGTACCATACATTTGTTACTGTAGTTATATACAGTATAGAAGGTTTCCAAAAAGCTGAATATATGGAATCTTTAACTTATTGAGAGCTTAAAAGAACCTTGCAATGTGTCATCTACTCTTTATGACATCTAAAACTCTTGCAAGTTATTAGTTTATATAACGAGTTGGTACATGTGTTCTTGAATCCGCATATAATTCTAAAACATGGACTTGCTTAATGTTGAGGAAAACAGGATTGGACTGAGTCACCATCATCCCCTAGTGCGCTTCTCTCTATGCTCATTAGCCTACCGAAGCTAAAGTTTGTGATCATGACTTTGGGGGAACATGGCTGTGTGGTGCTCGAGAGATGTCCCAATGGTGAGTTCTTGTCGATTTTCTTATTTGCAAAATTACACGACTACTTCTTGTGCATCAACCTTTCCTTTCCCTTTCCAACAAAATGCAGAAGTGTCAGAATCAGAAGAAGAAATAGACATCGATGAACTACACGAGTCTCTGAAGCAAAGCACAGACTTCACAAGTGTTTTACCTGTCTGCAATTTATCGGTAAACAAAAATTTGAAACGCATATTTCCCACAAGATTTACTTTTATTTTTTTGTAACATTTACAAGTTTGACTTATATCTTCTTGTTTTAACGGTCACTTAATTTCGTTGTACTAGTAAAAGACCACCCTACTTTAACCTAACCGGACGTAGTTTAGGTATTTTTTCGAGATCAAAATAAAAAAATGGTTTTGAGGTTTATAAATACAGTTTGTAATTTAGAGCTGACATAATTAATAAAAAGAAATCCTAATACAAGTGTTTACCTCAGTCAAGTTTCTCTCTAGTTTATTGCCTTGTCATGCCTATTCACAACAATCTTTAATGAGAATGTATCTATAATAATTTCAGCTGGTGACAAGACTGAAAGGAAATGTTACAGGGAGATTGTATATCGTAACAGCTGAGAAAGTACCTTCATCGGAGATTATGGACACAACCGGTGCTGGAGATGCATTCACCGGAGCTCTGCTCTATGGTAATAAATAATAATAAACTATGTGTTAAGCCAAAATCATTAAATCGAATCTAACCGAGTTTTATCTTCAATTTTGTTCTTCCATACATTTTTGGTCCGTCGTTTCACACCTTTTCTTCTAATTTTTCTCATAGGTTTGTGCACAGACATGGCTCTAGAAGAAACGTTGAAATTTGCATCTCGAGTCGTAAGTTTGCTTCTCTACTTGTCTTGATGCCATTTTAAACGCTAGCCTATCGCGTCTCTACTGAACTTGGCATACAATTTAATTTACATAAGCTCTCTGTTTTGTTCATGACGCGAATTTTCACGAACTCTAGCGTTACTTGTTTTGGTCTGAATTGTGAAGTACGTTTGCGTTTTGTAGGCCGCTTGTTGCTGCAGAGGTTTAGGGGCTCGAACCACTCTTCCATTCCGTTCTGATCCAAATCTTGCAGCTTACTTGGGGACATGACCATAATTCCTGTGTCCCTTGACTGCTCAACACTCAAGGTCATAAAATGGGTCTGTATATAGTTGTATTTTATCAACTGTGAAATAAAATAGTTGATGTGATAAATAAAAAATAAAATAAAATAGTTGATGTGATAAATAAATACAAATTATTGTTTTAACGAGCTCTAAATCAGATTCTCGTTTGTGACATTTTCGTACTTTACGTGCGTATCATGTGAACTAGTAATAATAAATTGAAGTGTTTTGTATTAAACAATTATTCGGGATGACTATTCATGCGGTGGATTTACATTAATTGAAAATTATTGTTTTCACATAGAATAGTCGGTGAGCAAATCAAATATAGTAAATATTCGTTTGTTGGTACATTGAAAATGCTTTGTTTGCAGATGACATAAGTTTGTCCCTACCATGTAATCATGTTGTATGCCCATTCTTCACATGAAAAAGTGGTATTAAAGCCGTTTAGAAGGGATAAATATTATTATCTCCCAAATGTGTATCAGATGAAATTAAGAAATTCGTCTGAGTTTCCTTCTTCCGCAATTGTTTTATCATGCATGAAAAACAAGAGGAATGTGATTGGAAATCTTCTCCGGCTGCTCATTCAAGTATTCCTTTTTAAGTATGAACTTTTTATAACAAATTACTTTTCCTTTTTATTAGTATTGGGAAATAAACTTGGTGAAGTATCTTTTCCTACGATTTTTACTATAACCGAATTTTGCGGCGGCTATACTTGAATGGTTGATCCACATCACAGCTTTGCAAAGCTTCTAGGGACAGTAACACCATGTATCCTTTGGTATACGTGAACTCATGGATCCTCTAGATATGTGCTCGTCCAGATTGGCAATGGTAAATTGGATCACAACAGTAACCGACCATGTAGTATGTAAGTTCAAGCACTTAGAGCTTGAGAAGTTGCTGCAGTGGTTGAGTTTTGGTTCGTATACTTGTGTTACACACATAGATTTGGTGTGTGACACACGCTTCAAAGAATAAAAAAAGGAATTATCAAGAAGGGAAGATGTGGAATATTTCTATATGTTTGGTTGACGAAATTAGAAGATTTATGATGCTAAAATATAGGAAAATAATATATTAGATAATAGAAAAAGATTATTTAATATATATTTTGGTTTTTCTCTGATTTGAGGATTAGGGCTTTTGTCGTTGTAATTCTCAGAAGGAAACACAAAGGGTTTTGGGGTTTCATAGCTGAGTGAATTGGTAGACTTGATCAACAGATGTTGAGGCAAGCAACTTGGGTGTTTTAGGAATCGATCCATGGCGAGTCGTGTAATTCGGATCAAACAAATCTGTAAGAGATTGTGTAAAGGATTTATAATTTAATAGATAAGAGTTTTTTGGAATTACTGTGTGCATTGTATTTTTCGCTGTATCTCGATTCTACATAATATACTATTTATTGGTGAACATATTTCTTTTGCAGGTTGATAGTGAATTGCAACATCGATCTCATGAAAACCATCACGAAGATCATGAATTTTTTGTCAACACAGAATAAATCTCTTATGTTTGTCTATTTTAGTGTTTTAAGAAATTACAGAGATTAGTAAAATGGTCGAATTGAAACCGATCAGAAAAAGATACACAAATGATTTTGGATATATAATGTTAGGATTTATTCATCTCAGTCAAAAATTAATCATGGATGTCTTTGTGTTTTGTTTGTTGCTTTCTTAGAAGTAATCTTCTAATTTTATTTTTCTTGTTAGTTGAAACTTACTTGTGATGCTACTAAACTTATTTAAGAGTGCATATAGTAGTGATGAGCTGAAAGTTGAGACTGAAAATATGAAGGACAAGGTCCTACAATCCAAAAACGAGCTAAAAAAACTCAAGAACATGATTCTTGATGTTTGTTTGGATGTTCTGGTTTTCATTGGCATATATGCACGCACAGAGTTCCATGTTGATCTTTTTATTTCGCTAACAAAACAAGTGTTTGGTATAAATTCCACCCGAGAATTAAATATGTGTTTTTAATATATCTGGATTTAACATTTTTCAGTTTAAAAAAAACTAGGGGATAAACTGATGCTAAGGGCACACTATAAATAATCAAATATCATTAATTTAACGGGAATTCAAAAATTAGGAAAGCAGAAGATATTTGAAACAAAATTAATAATTTTTATTTTCGTTTGACGCCTACAAAATTACTATTTCTTTGCTTTGGGAAGTTACATTTATGTAAATTAAAAATTAAAATTTTATTATTTAATGTGTAACTAATTAAATATAAATTATTTAAAGGAAAACAATTAGTTATTCAAAAAAATAAAAAGGAAATTAAATATAAAACTAGTATCGGAAATGTAGAATTAGCATTATTTTCAAAACAAAAAAAAAAAACTAATTCTAAAATGATAATGATAATTTTGTGAAATAGAAGGGGTATTATATGTTGTAGTTGAACTTTGAAAAGTTTCGATTTATAAGCTCAGATAATTCAAAAAGAAAATTAACTTGAATAAATTATAACTTTGGAAATTGTTATTTTAACAAAAACTTGAATTATAAAACTAGAGAAAATGACTAGAATAGACCTAAAAAAGTTTTTGTCACAAATATAGACCTTGACAATTAAAATGACAAAATAACACTTAAATGTTTATTAAATATACATTTTATCCATTGGGTTAACTAATCCTAGATTTTTTTGTTTAGAGTTGAGGAGTGGAGTTTTGGGGATAGGGTTTTAAATTTTAAAAAGTAAAAAAAAACTTAATTTTTTTTTTAAAAATGCTATTTTGGTCATTTTAATTTTTAAAGTCTATTTTTGTGATAAAAACTTTAAAAATGACTATTTAAGAGAATTGTCCTTATAAACTATTTTTTCTTTGCGAAACTAAACAATATATAAATTACTAGACCGTTCATATTGAACAAAGTTTAATAGACGGTTTAGTCAACGGTTTATGAAGTTCTCAAGATTAACTAATACATGTCTTTTTGTTGAAGTCGGTGTAAATCAATATCTTAGTTATAATGGTTTTGTTAATATCTTACTTATTTATACTTGTATCATTAAGACATGGATTAAATCAATCGTAGTGTATTTGCTTAATTGTCATGACAAAAACTATTTTTGTACTACATTAAGATTTTGCCAACGGACAAAATGGGAGTTTGCGTGTCGGAAAGGCGAAAACCAAGTTCTGTAATAAATGCAAAATAAAAGGGTAGTTTAGGAATAAGACGTCTGAATTAATCGTTTTATTATATTACTAATTGTTTTAGTTGAAAGTTAAAGAAAGTTAAGTAATTTAATTAAATTCAGACCAAATCCCAGAGAGGTGGAAGAGACGAGGGAAGCACGAAAAGAGAAAATAAAGTTAGAAAAAAAAAGAAACAATAATACTCAAAAAAATAAATTTTCCAGAAACGCGTTTAGATTTGCAGCCTCCTTCTTCTTCTTCTTCTTCTTCTTTTGCTCGTCTTCTTCACCAAATCTGAGTGTGTTCTTTTAAGTTCTTGGCTCGGAGGTGTTCTTATTTTCATAGATTCAATACGTTTAATGCTCATTTGATTCAATCTAGATCCAGATTCTGTATCTGAAGTCTCTGATCTACCAAACGAGATGGTAAGATCTCATTGTGGGTTCATTTTTGATCATATCCAGTTTGATTTGGGGGAAATTAGTGATTTAGGGGTTTTAGTTTGACTTGAGACGAATATGGTTTCTTGATTTGTTTTTTAAGAGTTTATAATTTTTGGATGATGGCATTGAGATGCACTTAGATTCATCATTTGTAGAATGAATTTAGAGTTTTGACTTCAACTATGACCTGTTTGTTTTTGAGTTTGACGCTTGGTCTAAATCTTCTATTTAATTTTCATAAGCTATGTATTGTTTATTACACAACACTTTGATTTTTCTTACATTTTACGGTTTTGATCTGCTATTAAACTTAAAGTCATTGGGTTACACGTAATTTTATAAGAAGTTGTGGTTATCATAAAGGAGCTTGAGAGAGCTCAAGAAGATGTTTTTAGTTCTCTTACCAGCTTAGAGGAACTTGCCTGATTCTATCGTCTTTACACTTTCCTTTCTCCTTTTTGATAACTTAGGAGTTTAAAAAGCAAAACTTCATGTTTAGTTGATATTGATGTCCTCCCACTCCATATTCTACATCTTTTTGGTTATATTTGTGAAAATGCATCTGCTTAGTTCATTGTTTCCACTTTGTTAGACCGTGGAAGTTAACTGTATAAAGTAGTGAAAATGATTTAGCAGTGTTTGCTTATAGTTTTTTTTTTTAATGGGAACTATGCCTTTTGACGCTCTTTGTTTCTACAGGCTGGTAACTTCAATCCTTCAGTTGGGTCGTGTGTGTGGGTAGAGGACCCTGATGAAGCCTGGATTGATGGTGAAGTTGTAGAGGTTAATGGCCAAGAGATCAAAGTTCTATGCACTACAGGGAAACATGTATGCGTGCTTCTCATGTGAATTAGAAAGCAAAAGAAAACTTTCTTTTGTGAAAACAGTTTTTCTATTTTCTAATTTTTTTATTTGTCTGGAAAAATTCAGGTTGTGACAAAAGCCTCTAGTGTTTATCCGAAAGATACGGAAGCGCCAGCATCTGGAGTGGACGATATGACAAGACTTGCTTATTTGCATGAACCCGGAGTTCTACAGAATTTGCATTCAAGATATGATATAAATGAGATTTATGTGAGCAAACTTTTATTGATTTTGAATACATATGTGCGCTAGATATGTTTGGACTAAACTTTCAATTACTTCCAGACTTATACAGGAAGCATACTGATTGCTGTTAATCCGTTTAGAAGACTCCCCCATCTTTACAGTAGCCATATGATGGCACAATATAAAGGAGCTGCCTTAGGGGAGCTGAGTCCACATCCATTCGCCGTCGCAGATGCTGCATATAGGTAAATTCATACCCACTTGTAAAACATTTTGCCTTTTGTACTCTTGCTGCTGTTGTTGATACTTATATGTCA